TCTTACTGCCAAGTAGTAGGGTACAGATAGAGCAGCTGCCTTGTCTGAATGGTTTATTTGGTCTTTTTCTTGACATGCTTTTATTCCTTTTATGGTGCAAGAATTATTTGCTCCTTGTGACCAATCATTACTCCAAAAAAACAGAATTTAACATCTTAAACATAATATTGGGTAGAGGTGAGTGCTTCCTTGTCCTTTGAATGCAAACATTTCTATTATTTTCGTGCTAACCTTGATGGAGAAGATTAGCAATATATTCATGAGAAAGTTCATCCTTGAGTCTTTATAACCGGCTGTGTCTCATGCAGAGTTCTCTGATCAAGATATTAGCCAAGCAATAGTGTACCGCTTACAACCTGATCTGGTAGGAAAGTTGATTCTACACAGCCTCCATGGCAATGTTGGGAATATGGGGGAGGGGGCAATATGTCAGTGAGAGCTGGAACAAAGATGCAGTTCTGTTTTTTCCACCATCGGATTGCAAAAACTATTAGATGCAGATCTTTGAATGGAATAGTATTGATGTGGAGGGATCCCATGAGATTATGAAGTTTTGGGCAGACAACCAGTCTTCTCAGGCATCTTGTTGAAATCTGACTGTGGCAGATAGTTGGTGATATCAACAAGAGCGAGGAAGAGTAACTTATATTGATCGGTCTTTGACAGCAGCAAGAGAAAATGTGGCGAACAATGATTATACGACCTCTTGATTCCCTGACTTTGAAGCCTCAGCATATCTCAGGAGATGCTGGATCAAAATGGTGGTATCTTCTGAACCGTGGTTGCTACAAGGTATAGATAGGAACTCTCAGTCTGTCCTGATTCCCGGGTCTCCTCTGGCTGGCTCTGGTTCGGCTTTGCCAGGACTCATGTCTCAGCCTCTTGGGGGCCTCCCAGGCATTCCTGTCACCTGAGTCTCCGGCTTTTCCCACTTTCCCACCCCTCTGAGCTGACCACTCTTCGCTCTCCTCTCATTGGGGATTCTGTTGGCCCTCCCTGGATTTGGTGAGTATCCGTCTGGGGTTCCTGCTGGGTTTCCACTCTATGAGATCAGGGTTTGTTGTTTTTGCCATCAAGTCACACTCAGCTGTTTTTGTGGCTTTTGCGGGGTGTCAGGACCCGGGTCTCCAAGGTCCCAATTCCCCGCAGCTAAAACCCCACCCACAGAGCTTCCAGACTCCAGGGCCCACTCCGATGTTCTTCATTGGTGGCGGTGGCGGCTCCCAGAAGCCTGGTGGAAGAGCTCCATTTTACAGGCCCTGCTAATTACCATGCAGTGTTGAGGAGGGAGATTTCATTTTCCTTATTATATTTATTTATTATTCAACTTATACTCCGCCCTCCCCTCTACGCAGGCTATAAGTTGAATAATAAATTATAGTTTTTTTATTAAACTTCTATACCGCCCTCCCATTGGCGTCTCTTATGTTCTTATGTTCTTAAAGGAATATATTAAAAACAGTCTAGTAATATACAGAAGTCATATAAAATCATAAAACCTATATGGCTCCACAATACAATTTTTTTTAGATCCCCATTAGCAAGGGGTAAGTGAGAGGGCAACTAATCAACCAATTGCTGTTAAAAACCATTGCTGTCCTCAACCATATGCTTGGCGGAACATCTCTGCCTTGCAGGACCTGTAGAATTGTAACAAGACCTGCATGGCCCTGATGTCATTTGGCAGAGAGTTCCACCAAATTGGAGCCAGGGCCAAAAAAGCCATGGGTCTGGATGAGGACAGTCGGATGTTCTTTGGGCCAGGGACTTCCAGCAGATTTTGTTCTCCTGGGTGCAGCGCTCTCCAGGGGACATACCAAGAGAGGTGGTCCTGCAGGTACGTTTGTCCCTGACCATGTATGGCCTTTAGAGGTCAAGGCCAGAACCTTGAACCTGATGTGGGGCCTCAGAGGTCAAGGCCAGAACCTTGAACCTGACCTGGTACTCAATCTGGAGTCAGTGCAGCTGGCAAAGCACAGCTTGAATATGTGCTGTTGATGGTGTCCCCATAAGAACCTAGGCTGCTGCATTCTGGACCCGCAAGTAGCCTGCGTAGAGCTAGTTACAGTAGTCAAGCCTAGAGGTGACTGTTGTGTGGATTACTGTGGCTAGGTCAGGGCAAGACAGGTTGGGGGTCAGTTGCCTGATCTGAATATTTTATGAGGCTTTATTAGGGCCCCTACTAGGTTTTTATAGGTCTTTGAAATAAACACTCTTTTGTACACTTACTTATGTTTTTAACTTTTGGCCCTCAATAAGTTTTCTAAACTTCCTTTGGAGGTTTGTGCATAGTTGGAAAAATGCCAGTCTGGCAACATTTGGGATCTGGGTCTCCATTGATAAGGAGGTGTCCAGAAATACATCCAAGCTCTTCGCCGGCTGTGCCAGTGCTAATGGCGTTTGGTCGAGAGCTGAGAGTTGGTGCCCAAGTTCTGAATTTCCCCTACACAACCAGAGAACCTCTGTCTTTGCTGGATTCAGTCTCACACGACTCTGCTTCAACCACCTCACCACAGCCTCCAAACCCTTGGCCAGATTTCTTGGAGCGGTGTCCAGTCTTTCATGTCCATAATAAGAATTCCTGTGTACAATGAGTTGAAACATGAATTCCATTTAGATTACTGGGGTGACTACCACATTTCACTGCCATTGAGTTTATCCATTTCAGCAATTTCCAAAATTTTAATTAGCCCTTTTTAAATTGTTGGAGTAATTCAAGAAATTTTTTTCCTGTCAGTGCCTATCCATTGGAGGCTCATCTGGGGATACTCTTGGTGTTAGTATACCTCTGGCTCAGATTGTGCTGAAATGACAAAAACATAAAATACATAATGTGGATAAAAATTGTACCCAACCAAGAACCGATGCTGAAAAAAAAACCCTAAGTGTTTAATTTGTACTTTGAATAGTTTATTTCATCAAGTTAGTTAAAGCTTCAGTAACACTGTCACTAAGATGAGCATGCATAAGTAGAATTTCAGGAAAATATGAATGCCTTGTTAGTTGAGATAGTATTTTGTATTTTTTTGGGTTATGCCCTATTTTCTTTTCCTCTTGTCTTCCTCCCCCGCACATACTTTGTACAAAGGAAGTATATTGACGCAATAGACAGTGTTTATAAAGACAAAGATTTCTTTTGAAGAATTGATTAAATAAATGTTTGTAAGTGTTTTGAGAATAAATTGTGCAAATATTTTGGTTTCCGGCGGAGTTTCGTCCCAGTTTGATTGTTAACAATAAAAGCTGACTCCACAGTAGAGTATTGTATTTCATATTGGGATGATGATTCATGGAAAAAGGATGACAAAACTAAATAATTAAAATGCTTTTGCAGAGATTTCAATAATTTCCCAAAACATAGTTTTGAGGGTGTAGTAGTCTTAAAGGCACTTCAAAAAAGTAATAACAAATTGATGTCCTGAACAAATAAACTACTTTTCTCAGCGCTTTGGGTCTTGATCAGTTGTAAAATGTTAGTAGGAATGAATCACTTCCATTGAACATGGCAGAATTGTGTTCATCTCTAAATACTATGATTAAACTTGACATAGTGAAGTGTATCATGTTGGAGGCAAAGTGAACTGATCCCAGAGGTAGTTTCTAAACAGCACAATCAAATCCCCGTTTCTGGATGACGTTTATTCTTTTCTTTTCTTTCTTTTTTAAAAAAGGTGCTGATTTCAGTGATGTCATTAAAGTTGTCAGGCTGTCTTAAAATATGGTGCTGTAAACAAACTCCAAATGCACAGAGGGCTAATTATGGGTGCCATCTGTTTATTTTTACTAATTTTTTTTACAAGGCCCACTGCAAGGATATTACAATAGAGGAAAAACGTTCGCCTCCAATTAATGTACTTGAAGGAGTATATCTGTCTTGTTCAATGACCTTTCCCTGTGTCACCAAATGCATGTGCTATGACATCTTCTGATAGAGAAACCTTGTTTCACAAAGGTTCCTTCAGACATATCGCTCCAGCCTCAAAAACATTTTACATTTTTTAGTAAGAGTAGTTTATTTAAAACACACACACACAGATGGTTTAGTGCACTCATGTTATAGAACTTTTGCTGCAGAGTTCCTGAACTTGTTCCTTTTCCCCCTTTCTTTTGGAGCGCACCTTATTTCATGGTTCCTTCATGCTGATTAAGTTGCGTTTTCTTAGTTAAAATACACATGTGTATAAATCCTGTTTTAACGAGAGAGAGAGAGAGAGAGAGAGAGAGAGAGAGAGAGAGAGAGACTTGTGCGCCGGCTCTCATTCTTGGTTTCGCAGTGAATGAGGGGGATATTCCCCTGACAGCATCATCCTGAGCTGTTAGCAACTATTTGCTGAGAGCATGCAGTGATTCTACTGGTCCAGCTCAGCTATTGTGCATGCTAAGCACTACACAGATAAGTCTGGAGGGGGAAGGAAAAAAAAAACCTGAAGGATCCATCTGTTCATTTCTGCTACACTGCGCTGATGTAAGATTACGCTAATCTGGTTGCTTGTCAGGACAGGTTAGTGAAAGCAGGCGTGTGGGTGAGATTTAGGCTAGTCTGGTTCTATGGAAGAGTGTGGGCTACTCCTGTACATGCCATGTTAAATGTAGCAGAAATGGGTTGATTATCAGCTGGCTACTTTGCGGTTTCAGTTAAAATATTTTGTATTTCTAGACTAAAAGTTTAGTCTCTTAAGCTTCCCCCCCTTTTTAAAGTCCTTCCTCCAAACACTTGGAAACAAGTTAAGCCTACATTAGGGTTTAATATATACAATGTCATCAAGAGCTCGCGGTTTAATTTTGCTTTGTTTTTAATTGTGTGTGTGTATATATATATATAGCCATATGTCTTGAATTTGGGGCTTGTTCTCGTCTTTACACTCAAAAGAGTAACCATTATTGTAAATAATATCTTTTTGACTTTTCCAGTATTTTTGTTTATTGTGAAAGAATTGGAGGAGGGGTGGAGGATTTAGTTGTTTGTGTTGCCTACTGACTGACAGTTCTTGCCCTTACAGGTTGAACATCCTATCACAGAATGCATTACCGGTTTGGACCTAGTCCAAGAAATGATCCGTGTTGCTAAGGGTTACCCTCTCAGGCACAAGCAGGCTGATATTCCCATCAACGGCTGGGCCATTGAATGTCGAGTCTATGCTGAGGTAAAAACTGTTAGCAGTTGGGAGGGTGAATAGCTGTGTAAGAACCTATAAATGCCAGGTGTAAGAAAGCACCAAGATTTTTGCTTTGAGTTTCATCTGTTGCGTGTGACATAACTGACGAAGGTTTTCAAATAGCTTTTTTCACCCTGCCATTATGGAAACATTTTCAAAGTTGGAAAAAATATATGCCTTTGGAAGAAAAGTGTCCAGCAGTTATTTTTACCTGTGAGCACAGTTTCATAGTGTTTGAACAGTGGTTTTCTTATGGCCTTACCTTACCTTGGATTTGTTTGTTTGTTTAAACTGATCTGGAAATGACAAATGATTCCCATACTTCTCACTGTTCTAGATAAGATAGCCATTGGCTATTTTTAAAAAACAAACTTCTAAGTCTAACTGATGGAAGGCAAATGATTCCCATACTTCTCACTGTTTCTAGATAAGATAGTCATTGGCTATTTTTAAAAAACAAACAAACTTCTAAGTCTAACTGATGGAACTCTTGCTCTTCGGTTGAGTTCTGAAATCAAGACTTCCTCTGTATAAACTATTTTCCACTTTCATTTCAGAATAGGAATGCTGCTATGGTGGGCAGTCGTTCTCAGTTTGGTTAATACTACATTCTCCCCCCACCCTTTGGTGACTTGTAGTCCTTCTCTTCTTTGAGCTGTGTTGCCTTTCTCACCCTGGTAACATCTTTTTCTGAGTATGTATAGTGAACCTTAGCATTCATCCCACAGCTGAAATATCACAAGACTATAGTTAGAAAGCAATAACATTCAAACAATACATGAGGATTTTGCATACTGCTGGTAGTGCTGGTGTTTCTGTACCAGTTCCATAAGCAATATAGTGTCTCATAAACATTCTTCCAATAAAATTCAGTGCTTAGGATTTTTAATTGTAGTAGAATCCAGCACTTTTGCATTGAGCGCTACAAAACCTTTATGCTGTTTGTTTGTGCCTTAAATAACTTGCTTTTAGTTAGGATGTGTTCTTGGAAGCGTTGGAGCTTGAGTAAAACTCCACAACTACTTGTCTGGTTTCTTTCTTTTTTGGGGAGGGCTTTTCTTTTTTTGCTGTGTGTTTTTGTCCTCTGTTCATGCCCTTACTATTGTGTCCTCTCTTAGAAAGATTGCCCTTGGTTTAATAAAGGCACAGCAGGAAGGTTTTAGCTTTAACAAACCTTCCTTGGCTTGAATGGAAGAAGCAAATTCATATCCCCCCCAAAATAAGTCATTTTGAAAACAAAATATAGTTGGTTCAAAATTTAAAATGGAGGAAACTGCTGGCTTCCCAGTGACTTAACCTCGTTTCCTGTGCTTTGTCTTACTAAGTTAATACCATCCTTGCATTTGAATTTCATTTCAGGATCCCTACAAATCTTTTGGACTGCCATCTATTGGTAGGTTGTCTCAGTACAAAGAGCCGCTGCATGTGCCCCATGTAAGTAATTCTGATGCTTCCTTCCTCCTCATTTTCACAGATGCTAAGAAAACACAGAACTCATTGAGTTCAATAGAAGTCATAGGTGTTCAGCACCCTCTAAAACCAGTCACCTTAAAATGCTTTTGTTAAATGAAAGAAGAGGAAGTTAATTTTATTAGCTTGCCGTAATTGGAAATAAGATATATGGGCCTTGGGTTTAAAAAAGAAAAAAAACACAGACCTATTGAGCATTCTGCACATTCTTTCTAGCTTTTTTGGTACATATTATGTAAGCCTGTTTTGAGAAATATTAGCAGTTATAACTAGGAGAATCACAGGGAAAAAGAAAATGTGGGCGATGTCAGATTGCCCAGTGCTGCAAACTGCTAAATGCCCCAACGAGGAGCAGTCCTATTTGTTTAGCTTTCAAGCTTTTAAAGCCAAATGCAATTTGCTACACTTGATGAAAAGTGATTATTACACATCGCGGTGTTGTAGACTGTCCGTTTAGAGTGGTTGTTTAACAGCCAGTACAAAAAAGGACAAGGGCATCTTTTCTCTTCTGTATAATCAAGGTAGTCAAAGTAATAATAAGTGTGTATATATGGCATGGTGTCGGCATTGTGAAATGACAAGCCAATACTATCTGTGAATATGATTATTTACCATGATTGCTTGCATCGGGAAAAATGGTGAAAGATTACAGGCCAAATCCTAAATTTGGTGATGTTATTGGATATAGGATTTATTTCACTTCTTAAATTGTTTTTGCCCATATGCTTCCTAGAGAGGACCTGACCCTTTCTAGGGCTTTAAGGCTTCATGCTGTGTTCAAAGCTTAAAGCAGAAATACAAATTGTCAAGGTTTAGCAGGCACTATGTGATGTTGAATGGAAGAAGGGGGGGGAGAGCAGCTATTACCTAGAGAATGTATCTTAAGCATATTTAATGAAACCCAAATGAACTAAGAAAGAATTTTCAGTAATTACTCCAGGGGCAGGTTGAGGGTTTTCACCATGTTATAATAGCTAACAGGATGTCAAATATTTTGCCCTCACAAGTTTTTGCAATTTGCAATTTTCTAAACATGAGACCTGTTGAAAGTACAAGTGATAATGGACAAACTGTACCCCCTACAGTCTTTGTCCCACCAAATCTTTCTTCAATTAATGCTGCAGCAGGAGTTTTATGTAATAACATTTGCACTTGTGAGCCATCCAGAGAAAGAAAAAACAATTAAAATGCCTTAAATGTTCTGCTTACTGCTGTTATTTGCTTGTGCGAATGTTGCATGTCAGCTAAATGGACCACGGAATAGATAAAGTGATTGGGTACAAGAGAGTGCATACTAAGCTTTGTCTATCATTATTGCTGGGAGCAATCAAATTGATGCCAGCAGGACAGTAGATGCGTTGACAGCTGTAATTATGTATCTCCATGGTGATCACTTTTGGCCTGTCATGGAGGCCCATGAGTCCCCTCCTTTGCAAGCATTTAATCAGATTGGGCTGTCACTTGTCAGGTAGACATGGCGGGTTGGGAGTTGTGCTTAGGGGGAGAGGTGAATTGAAAATGAAGGGTGGGAGACAGAGTGTGGCCCATCATAGTACTGAAAGAAGAAATTTTAATTATGTTGGAAGCCTAAGACCAGTGGTTTTGAGGATCACATACAGAGTGGCTGGGCTGTTATCGTCCTGTGAACTCCCACCATCTTGTTAAAAATAGAGCAGCTATTTTTATTTAGCAATTGGGGTTTGCTCCCCCCCCCCCGTTTACAGTAGCGGAAATTTTTGAAATTGAGAGATTAAGGTTGTGAGAATTTTATAATTATGAGAAAACTATTCAATCCCGAAACCTGAATAATAGTGCAAGTTGTGTTTTAGCATTTTCTTTGTAAGAAATATGTGGTCAGGAAGAAGCACACTATTTTTTTTTTGTTCAGTCTTCTTATTGACATAGAAGTGTTGTCGTTTATCATAAACTTATAAAAAGATGGTTGGCTTGTGTTAGGCTGGACAGTATGTATCAGAAGGAAGGAAGGTATTAGAAATTATTTATTTCTTAGCCATTCTTTCAATACCATGCAACACAGCCTTTCTGTTGGTAGAGTTCAGCCCTAATGCTTATGAAGCAATAAGAAATAAAAGTTTAAGGAGAAGAAGCATATTTTAATCTAGAGCCTGGTTTTGCTTAGGATGGCACTGTAAATGACTGAAAGAGTTTGAATCCCAGCACCTATTGGGGCCAGTACTTCCGTCTGTGGTGCAAAATTAATTGTTTTGATTTTTTGTTTCAGCACAAATTCACTTTTTCATTCTAATTAAATGACCATCTCTCAAGTATATTAAACACTGTGGTAGATAGAGTAGATTCCATACTGACATTTGAACTGCCACCACTTTATGAACCAAGCACTAACCATACCATTCAGGCATACCTTCTTGATTTCTGATGGTCCTAAACCTTTATTTGTTGGTAAATCAAACCTTAAGATCAGGGCCAACAAGAGAGGAGGACTGGGGGGACAAAATTCGGGGGGGAGGGCAACATCAGTTCAAGGGCCCCCAGCTGGGGTTCTCTGACAGCCAACACAGTAGAGTTTAGCTTCCAAGAATGCCTTTGTTAGAGTTGCCAGCCTCCAGGTGGGGCCTGGAGATCTGCTTTTACAACTGATCTCCAGCTGACAGATATCAGTTCCCCTGGAGAAAATGGCTGTTTTGAAGGGTGGACTTATGGCATTGTACCATGCTGAGGTCCCTCCCCTCCCCAAACCCCATCCTCTCCTGGATCCATCCCCAAAGTTTCCTGGTATTTCCCAATCCAGAGCTGGCAACCCTAGCCTCTGCTCTGCCCTTTCTGCTGCCATCTCTCTCTCCCACTCTCTCTCTCTCATCCACTTACCCACCTGCGACGCAGAGCAAGAGTGAGAGATGGATGCTGGGGACTGGCTCAGTTTCTTCGGTCTGCGCCTTTCCTGCAGCTGTGTAGCCAGCCAGCCTCACACTCTGTGCGCTGGGAAGGCAGCGCGTGGTGCTCCTTCTTCCTTGTATGGTGATCTTTATGGGAGCAGCCAGTCCCTCATCCTCCTTGCATGATCTGCCCTGCAAAAAGCCCACTGTTTGCTCTGTTCCCTGTTCCATTTCCTGAGCTGCATAGAGAAGCTTCTCTAACCACAAGAACGGGATTGTCATCTGGTAAATGAGCTCCTAGCTGCAGGCAGTGGAAGAGGTGGGGTGAGGGGGGGGACTTCTCAATTATCTCATGCCCCAAAGAAGAATATGATGGAGGGGGCAGGGCTGTTGAAACTCACATTGTTGTGCCGGAGAGGCAAAAAAGTTTTCAGGGAGTTGCTCAGAATGAGCATCACAGGAAAAAGGTCAGTATCTAAAAAGCAGTGGGAGTTCCAGGTAAGGTTGCCAACTGACCAAGAAAGAGGGAACGTTTGACAAAACGGAGGAAACAGTTATTATTGGCTTGTTCCTGCAGTTCATGCTCCTGTGAGATGCACAGGAGTAGGAGCTAGTAAGAAAAAAAGTTGGCAGCCCCCTAGATCTGGGCAAGGGCAATCGCTGGGGGTTGTGGAGGGGGGCATTTGGTGCTGGTGAATGGATGGATTCGGGGGTGGGGAAATCTGGGAGAAGAGGTGGGGGTAAGGGCTTTAAGGCTGCAGTCCTCCTTTGCATATTTACATGCAAGTAAACCCCGTTGCAGTCACACTTTGAGTTAACAAGTACAGGATCCAGCTAACTGGACCAAGGATCCAGCTAACTGGACCAAGGCCTAGGAATAGGGAATATGCTTGATTTGTTTAAAAAAATCAGAAATCTTGCACTCTGATTGGGAGAGGAGGATGAGGTGCTCTCTGTCTGTTCTCTCCTCCTTTCTTTTTCTTTCTGTTTAAGGAGGCAGCAGCAGAAGGGGAAGGGAGGGGAGAACTGGAGCCAGTTGGATCTCCGTATCCAGGGTCTAGAGTTGCTTTCTAAAGTCAGTGCAGATGCGGGACTCTGATCACCTACCAGAACTTGTTCTTTGTTTCAGAAAAGAGATGTTTTTTTGGGAAAAGAAAGTGCTTGCTAAGAAACATACCTATGGGTGCCAATGGTGCCCGTGAGTTAATTAAAATCTGCTCTTTAATAATCCTGCCCATTTCCCTTTTAACGTTTCTTACCTAATGAACAATTATTTTCTATTCATGGATGGTAGCAGCAAGCTGATATTATTTGTTTTTGATCAGGGTCACATGGAGGGGGGGGCAGATGGAATTTTTGCCAGGGGTTCCATGGTGGCTCTCGGCAGCCCTGCTTAAGATCATTCTTAGGGGAATTTTGAGGGGGGGAAATGCACTAGACTGACAGTGAAATCCTAAGGAGAGGTACACTGTTTCTAAATCAATTGAAGTCAGTGGGCTTAGAACAGTGTAATGCTGTTTAGGATTGCAATGTGAACCTGGTTTACTAAAAACAGCTGCCTACTTTGGACTGACAGTGGAAATCAGAGAATAGCAAGCTTAGTTACTACTTATACTGCCCACTTCAGTGGATAGACAAACCATATTGAATATCATATTGTGCTTTTATGGTAGGAATATGCTACGTTCGCAGAACTGATTTTCAAGATTTATCCAGTACTTGCCTCAACCGAAAAACAATAGCAGGAAACAAGAGTATATAAGACATTTATGCAGGGGTCTTTTCGTAGAAAAACAGCTGCAGGAGCTCATTAGCATATGGTATGCTAATGAGCTACTAGGCTATTAGCATACTAGCTCATTAGCATATGTAACGCCCCCTGACATCACGAGAAGTGATGTCAGAAGGGGAAGCAAAAGGGGGGGGAAGGCATCTTCAAAAGCCTCCCCTTGGGGGGGGGAAGTGAAGAGAGAAGGGGTTTAAAGTTTAAACCCCTTCTCACTAGAGTTGGGCAGCAGAAGGAGGAAAGAAGGACGGAAAGAGAGCAGAGAGAAGGAATGAAGGAAGGAAATAGTGAAAGAAAAAGAAGGAAAGAAGGAAGGAAAGAGAAAGAAAAAAGGAGGGTAAGAGGAAAAGGAAAGAATGAAAGGAGGGGAAGAAAGGAAAGAAAGAAAGAGTGAGAAGGGAAGAAGGAGGGAAACAGAGAGAAGGAAAGAAGAAGGAA